ATGAAAAGTAAAGTTGAGTGTAGCTGCGTTTGTCATCTTACATGATCTCTTGCTACATTAGCTAAATTGTTGGAATTAGTTCGTTTCAGTAGATGACGGTTCAGTAAGTCAATTCAGTTCAGTAAGACATTCGAGGTCAATCGAAAAATTGATATTAGATGCCAGTCGCAGTTTTCGGATTCATCGGCTGAAGTATCGGAACCGTAATGCGATCATTGGTGATACTATGGAATTTGTTCTGCATTGGTTCCGGTATAACCCGCCTTGGCACTCGCATAACATCTGACCATTTTTGTGGCCGGAGCCTTCTTACATTTTCGGCATTTGCCATTATGTAACAGTCTCACAGAACTATGAACTCTTCAGACAAAGGTCTTCCCATTTTTGTTAAGCGTAAGTATGCTTGGAACTTACTAAGGAATTGTGGCTGTTTTACAGTCTGTTTCATCTTGAATTAAATATGGAATTCTAAGGTAGTCCGTTACATTTTGATTACGAGCCCAGCGGGTTATGTTTTTTCGTATGTGATACTAATGATGTTTCTGAGCAGAACTTTTATGGTGTAATGAAGACTGCTTATGTTAAGGTCGTTTAGGTGAACAGTACCAGATACATCACTGATAGTTACGAATTTAGTCAAAGGGCAAATTGCTTTTCAATCATTCAAAGAATATGGAATGTCACTGAAGGCGCTGCTGTTAACGAATAGAAAAACTGTTTAAAAAATGACTGATTTCTGTTTTTCTAATAGAATGAATGTTTCTTATAAAATCCAATGGTTTTTTGTTGATGCAACAGCTGCCTACAGTGAACCGCTAAAAGTTTACGTCGGCGTTTACGCGTCAGTAATTTTTTTCCAAAAATTATTAACAGTATTAGCGTTCAGTTTCAATGAAATAGTTTCTTTATGTTAGAAATTTGTTCTGACTTTTATAAAATAAAATTCTGTCAAGCATTAGGACCTTGCGTGCAATGCGCAGGTTTCTCGCTGAGTGTACAAATTTGGTGTTTTCATGCTATGACCCAATGGTTTTTAATGACGAAGAAAATGAAAAAAGTTTGTTAGAATCATTACAGTGTTTTCACAGTTTTTAGAAGTGGGTTAGCGTTTGAAGGCTAGTGCATCAATAATCATCCGTATATCCCTGAAATCTGTATTTTGAAATGATAAACTAAAAATTTGAATAAGTAGTTTGTTTTGTGACCTGTTCACCGTTAGCTGTGTGGAGTAACTGCAGTTTGCCATAAGATTACGAATATAGTCAATAAGTACTTGATCGATTCATGGTTCAGGGCACCAAACACAGCAAATGGTGAAATCTTTACTGCCAACGCGTTTCGCTCATGCACAGTAGCATCATCAGGGCTAGATAGAAATGGCTGCTTGAAGGCCCTTGTATGTGGCGAAACGCTTTGGCAACAAACTTTTCACCATTTGCTGGATGTGGTACTCGGTATTATAAGTCGGTCAAACCACAATTTAACTAACGGCCCAGAATCGATAATCCCGGTGCTTATTGAGAATGTCAATGAACTCTCAGAATATCTAGTCTATTTGAAGCTATAACGCTAACGGATTTAATTCTCTGGCTGTTTGTTCCCGTCTAAAATAATCTTTGCAAGAATTAGCTGAGTGTGCTCTCTCTGGACACGTATCTAACTACGTTTTTTACCTTAATTTATAATCTAGAGATAAACTGCTGTTTGGATTTTGCAGAGAATGTTGTTCCCCTCGATATTAAAAACTAGCAGTTTGCTAGAAAACCCAATAATGCCACGGTTGTATTCTTGATATGTAAGACTACGGAGAGAGGGATATTCGTTTGTGTTCGAACATGTTTGTTTGACCCAACAAGTGGTGCTTTTTGTGCCCATACTCAGCAGATGCTAAAACGTCATGGAATTTTTGCCTACATAAAGGATCTAGGCTCTAGAAACAAGGGGATGATACGCAACGCCGAGCGAATCCAGAGAAATGATACAAAAATGCTGTTTACATGAATTGCCCGGAATTTTGTTAATGTTGAATGGATGAAGAACAGATTTATTGAGCTGACCGATCTGTAACCGTGAGTGGCATTATAAAAATGAACACTGTTATTAGGCTGCTTAACGGTTAACCAGAAAGTGTCTAGGCTGATTCTTCATCTGCTTCTTCATCTTCCATGACCGCTCCTTTCGGGTCGTGGAGGCAGACGCATCAGGCAGAACTTCCATCGTTCCCGATCCTGTGCCCAAGTCTGAGCTTGGGCAAAAGACAACTGGAGTCTGGAACAGACTACTTCCATGTATTTGCACCACGTTAATCTGGGCCGTCCATTGGGCCTTCTGCCGGTGGTCGGTATGGCAAGAAACAGTTGCTTAGACCTCCTTTCTGGACGTTTTCGCAACACGTGCCCAAACCATCGCAGCCGTGACTTCTTAATCTGCAGAAGCAAAGGCTGTACACCAAGGCTCGCTCGGATGTCAGTATTTCGGGCATGTCCAGATGCGTAAGGCCGGCGACTCGTCTAAGAATGTCCATTTCAGCAGCTTTTACCTGAATTCGAAGTTTTTTAGTGATGGCCCACGATTCATTACCGTAGGTAAGCATGGGTATAAAGATCTACTTGAACACCGAGTTTTCAGACTGAACTCTGTTTTAGTCACAACTGATCGGCTAGTTCACGCAGACCGCCACTGGCTACTCCAATTCGCCGGTCGATCTCTTCTTCCAAATTTCCATTACTAGTAAGTACGGTTCGGAGGTACTTGAACTTCTCGACCAGCTCCACTGCCTCTCGGTTAATTTGAAGAGAGCAACTGGCAGGAGAACGAGAAAGCGCTAGGCTTTTCGTTTTAGATGCATTCAGACGCATACCGTTCACGTCGCACTCGGCTGCGAACCGTTCTAGGGAGCCCTGTAGATCAGTTTGAGAAGATGCCAATAAAACAAGTTCGTCTACAAACAGCAACCTTCTCGACTTCACATCTCCTATACCGATACCCTCATCGCCTTGGCAGCTCCTGACTATTCGTCTGCAAACAGCAACCTTCTCGACTTATCATCTACTATACCGATACCCTCATCACCTTGGCAGCTCGTGACTATTCTATCCATGTGCAACACAAACAGGATAGGGTACAGGATGCAGCCTTGGCGGAGACCAGTGCCAACGTTCAGCGGTTTCGACTTAACGCCATTTATTCTGACGCAGCACCTGCTGTCAGAATACAGTGATTGTATGGCCCATACCAGGTGGCCGTCTATCCCGTGTGCTCGAAGCCATGACCACAGACTGTTGCGTGAGATCCGGTCATAGGCTTTTTCTGGGTCAACAAAACACATATACACATGTACTCCCACTTGTCTAGGCTTGTTCTATATTCAATATTCAAGGTGAAAGTAGAGGATTTTTAATCAAGTAGAAACCTCCATATTTATATGCATACCAAACAAGGCTACGAGTTATAGATCTAGTTAAGTCAGTTAAAGATTTATCATTCTGGTGAACGGCGCTATTGCTTTATGCTGAGTGATCAGTTAGCATGTATGCAGTATACTGCAAATAGTGATGGACATGATTTCGGTAAATCAATTCAGAAGACCCTACTATAATAACGTTTCAGGACGTCGTACTTTGTGTTGATTTAAATTACTGAATTACTTCAAATTTTCTTTATTACTTAAGAAGGCAAAATGGTTCAGTGAATTGTAGTTTCGCAAAATTTACGAAGGCGCAATCTTTTGGATATTTATGATTTATCATGTAGAATTGGAGTTTTCGTCTGATTCTTTTGTCACCATATTAACGTTTGAATTGTCCATTTCTACTTCAAAACAGTTGCTGTAAACTGATGAATGATTTTTGTTATTTAGGCTGAACAACTGAACATGGCTTCAGTCTGTGACGATTTGATAAAACAGGTCAATCACTGCGCTTCTAAAAAAGATTGGGATGATTTTGAAAAAATTCTATCGTCTGTCAAGGATTCGGATGACATGTGGTTTGATTCACAATTTATGTCATGTTTGAACAGAACATTCTTGTTGGTAATTATAAGTTTGATACAAATTCATATTTTTGAGAAAATTAATACTTAAAAATAAGGATGCTACACTGGCCACACGCAGCGAAGTGATGAGTTCGGCGTATTTCCGTGTACTGTTGCATTTCGTCTTTTGCAGCATGCAGACCAATGCGATGGGCGTAGCCGAAAATCTCTTATTTTCGTAAGCTTGCGACCTTTTAAGTTTAAGGTATTTTATATACTGCTTTTGTCTTTTTGTACAGGTTGGTTTCATTCGAAAGCGATATGGAAAACTGCCAGTTCAGAGCAAGATGGTGGCCAGCCTTTAGGAACTACGTCAAGGGGCAGGTGTGCATTGCCTCATCATCGCTGCTTTTGCGAAAGGTGTGTAGTTTTACGTACATTGCTTCCCACGCACATCTTTAACGGATTGTAATTTAATCCTTCAGGACGTAATACATTACATAGCTTTAGGCTTTAAGCTGTTTAAAAATGGTGAAAATAACTCATTGTAACTAACATTGAAAAAATTTTTTTGTTCAAGTCCTGACCACTCTTTCAGAACTACCGTATTTACTGGAGGAGGGGGTGCAGAAGACATCGTTTAACCCCATCACTCAAGATGGAAACCGCAGTTTGTTCAGACGCTGTATTCCTATGGCAGCCCATCTACTGTTTTCAACTATCTTGGAGGTAACCGCAGAGCGTAGACATCTTCAATAAACTGATGTGATTCCGAAAACGAATAATGACCAAAAATTGAATCTGAGCTTTGTTGCAACAGCCAACACCACCACTGGTAGAACCTAAGCCAGTGTGTGTCTGATCCACGACACTGAAGCTGCGGGTACCAGGATCGAAAACATGCAGAAACATCTGTATTTTAGGAGTACATTAGTTACACAGAGTTAAGAGGTGCCGTTCGTTTCCGTTGGCATCGATCAGTTTGTTGTTCAACCTCTGGACTAACAAAGACTTTATCAATGACACAACGCTTCATATGTACAGGGCCTGCATTCTGGACATCTCGCTCAGTGGCCTGAAAACGGTAGTACTTGACAAAGCTGAAGAGAGAAAATTGCAAGCAACCGAAATAACGATTTTAAAACCGGTATTGGGAGTCAAGTGGTACTGTCAGATGTCAGACGCTGCTGTACGCCATAGGTCAGAATATCTAACTAAGTTTACTTACTTTCTGTGAACACGGCTGTTAAAATGGATGCCATTGCATAAGAAGAGACAATAGCCGTCCTGCGAAGCTAATACTGAACTTAAAGTCTGATGACAGTCGGCTGTCAGGAGAACCTTAGAACAGAAGATCTCTTTAGAACTAGCATGGTACCGGAAAGACCGCGCACGCATTTATTCGATCCTCGGTAGCTGCTTCTGCGGCATTCTCGTCGTCTTCAATGCATTCTGATAAGAAGAAAAATGCTATTCTTGCCAGGCATCACAAATATAGTCAAATCTGCTGTTTTTACTCCTCTTGCGCATTACGGCAGCAATAGTCTTGTTGCTTTCTCATTGTCAGTCTTTGGCGAACAAGGCATAGAGAACAGAATTGCTCAGGTTTCTGATGTTTGATCATTAAAAATAGTCTCAGCAGTCTGTTAATCAAATGACCACAGCAGACCAATACATAAGACCTCGTTAATTCTAAATTTTGCTCAGTCAGTGGGATTCGATGACCGGTTATCTTTTCGTGTCACATAGGTCAACGCTTCAGAAGTGTCCCCAACGTTCCTCTTCCTGTACCAGCGTTTGAGTTTCGGCAGAGGATAACCTGACTGTGGAATAGAGTCTGTCGAGACACTTGCCCAAGATCATTCTTTGCCCTTCCCTGTTTCTTTGGTCGATCATTAGGGCAAGTAGTAACTGTTTCGCCTTCCTCGCTGGATCCATTCAAAAGACATGCCCAAACAGTCTTAGCTGTGACTTCTCAATCTGGAGAAAAGCAGTTGCTGTACACCACTGGTTTTTTTTGGCTTAGACTCGTTTACGCACATGAAGCCCATGTCGCATTCGGATGCTAACCTTTCCAGAGAGCGCTGCAGATCATTTTCAGAAATTGACAACAAAACAAGGTCGTCTGCAAACAGCAATCTTCTCGTCTCCAAATCTCCTACGCCGATACACCCGCCCCCTGGCTGCGCCTAAGTATTTTACCCATGTACAACAAATATAAGAAGGAACAGAGTGCAGCCTCAGCGGAAACCAAAAGACAGGGGGTATCGACAAACTCTGACG